CCCCAAAACCCCAAAACCCCAAAACCCCATGAGAATGAGTATTATTATTTTGAAAATTAGATAATAGAATCAGTCATTAATATAATTAAGTCACACTCAAGAATAATAAAAATATGAGAAAAAGTTAATCTAATCAATAGATTCAGTTCAGAGATAAAATATAACAGAAGATTGATAAACTATCAGTTAAGGATCTTAAGGGTTAATTCCAAAACCTTTAGATGGTTTAGAATCTGCGATGAGAGTTCTTATAATAGATCCTTGATGTCAAGAAAGATAAGAAGGATAATAAGCGTTTGGTTATGCAGATAAAAAAGGCTCATGAAAAGTACTATGATGTCAAGTTTCGCAAAAATAGGGAACAGATTTTGTTGAGTAATGTAGAATCTCCCTAGAAAAAGGAGCATCATAATTCAATTATTATCAGTGGGACTAATCCTTAACAAGCGTTTTAGTCCCCAACTTCTTAAAAGCAAAGTAGGGACAACTCCATTCAAATGAGAAATAGCTCCCTTCCCTAATTAGCAAGAACAGGTAGTCAGAGTATGCAATTTCTATAAATGTCATAAAACCTTGATAGCTCAATTAAAAATCACAAAGCTGGTCATTAAGAATCTTTATAAAAAAGAATTATGAAGATTTCTGATGAGAGAAATCAGCATTTATAGTAAATGAGATTACAATAGGTAGGGGAAAAGCAGGTTTTTACGAAGGCAATTGAAGAGCCCTTATCATAGTAAAGAGTATCAGATTTATTGAGTTATATTAGCAGGATAGACACAAGGAGACCAAACTTCAATGATTTGAGTATCAAGGCTTAAACAGTTATTGACATGAGAATGAATATTGATGAGATAAAAGAAAAATAGTAAAGATAGAATGAATTTATTCAAAAATCCTTAGTAGCGAAGCCTTCTCATAAAAATTCAATCACTTTTCCAGAAATAATAAAATTGAATTTAATAGATTAGAATTAATATACTCAGTTGGAATAGTAAAAATCTTATGCTCTAAATAACAGTGATGATGAAAACGACTAAATATAAAATGATTAACAGACTTAATAGTAATACTCGATGAATCAAAATAATTATAATGAATAAATGCACTATCTGAATGAAACTTCGATTGGTGATGATACTGTGAATGCAGATAAGAAATAACAAGATAAGTAGCTCAAATGAGAGATTTCTTTTATGGAAAGTATTATACCTAAGCAAGATGAAGAATTTAAAACTGATCAATCAATTGGTGATATTTTGAACATAAAGAGTCCATTAGGTCATAAGAAAAAACGTAGAGTAAGACACAATAAGTCTTAAAAAGATATATCGATGTCAATAGATAATTAGCTTATCATGATCGGTCCTCCTAGAGGACCATTTAAATACAAGGAAAGTTAAACATTACTTCAAAAGAGTCCAAATGCTTAGATTCAATAACTAGGAAATATAGTAAGTGTATGCCATAAGGAATTGAATGGAGCTCAAACCTCGAAGGCAAAAAAAAGATATGAGTTTCCTAAATTTTGAAAATTAGAAGAAATAAATTTTATTGCCTATCAAGGAATCCAACTAGTTATTACATAAAATCCCTTCCTATTAATAATTTGTAAATTCTCAATACAAATACTTGTTTTCTTAATTTTATAACCTTAAATTAGTATAAACTCATTTATTTAATTATTAACTTAATAAAATGGAAAAATTAAGTAGAGAGCAATTCGCCTTCTCAGAGAGATTAATAAATAGATAAATAGACTAAGACTTCAATGTAAAAGTTGGACTTGAATAAAAGTTAAATGAATATGAAAAATTGTCTCAAACTCTAATAGACATATCCAAGAAATCAACTCATCATGTAATGGTAAGTCAATTTTGGAAAAAGATAAAATAAATATTCACATATTTCTTGCTTAAATTTGACAGAATAAACTAAGATTTTAGGTACCTATTAGTGAAGTCGGTTTTTTCACTTAAGGGAAAATTAAGCATAGCAATGAAGTCTTGGTATTTTTGGGAGATAATTACTTTGTGGAGAGAACTGCTCATGAATGCTAAGATATGATTAATAGAAGAAAATAATGTAAGCAAATAATATGCAATTTAATCATTGTCTTTTTAAAGTGATCTCGAAGCAGCTTGATAATCTAGACATTTAACTCGATAAATAATAAAATCTTAAGGATATATTATAAGAATCTAAACAGACCTCAGATAATCCAGAAATAATGCCAGATACTTAGAGCAGATGGACAAAAGAAGGTCTTTTAGACATCAGAGAAGAGTATGGTGATGAGGTTCTTAGTACTCAAGTATTTGATGAGGTATAATAAACAATACACCCTCAAAGTGAGTCTATTAAAGAAATCCTTTAAAATAAGTAAACACAGCTGGAAGAATAAAACTAAGACTCAGATAGTGATGATGATTTTAAGGTAAAATATTAGAGATTGAAAAAGTAGAGTGAAGGTAAAAATAAGGAGTTAATTGATAGATTGAAAGCTCTCAGTGATGGAGTCCCATATGTACCAGACTAGAACTCCTAAAATAGTTTAAATCAAGCACCTGTAGCTACCAAACCATCAGACCTTAGAAGAATGATGTAATAAGTTGCTGAGAGAGAAGAAACTAAAGCCATTGATAAACCTATTTAGCAATAGCAATAATAGCCAAAGTCAATACTTAAGAAATCAGTTGACTAGCAAAGCACATTAAATCAGCAAATGTCACTAGGCAGTAACTTGATCAAGGAGAAAAAGACTGAGCCTATAGTAACAAACGTTGTAGAAAGAGACCTAAAGAGTGGTCGTAAATAGTAGGAGCAGCAATAATAGTAATAATAGGATAAATAAGAGGAGGAAAGACCCAAAAGAGTAAGTAAATTCAAGCAACAGAGAATGGGACAATGATTTACTGTTAGTGATCTGGAATTAATTAAGGAATTTATTTGTTAAAGTACAATATTTTTACCTTTTATGACTCATGGGGTTTTGGGGTTTTCCTCCTCTTATTTATCCTATTA